AAGCCACGCCACTCACTCGACAGATCACGATCGTGTTAAGGATTAACACAATCTTCTGTATTATTGGTAATTGTGTAGAACTTTAGATCGTCCGCCAAAAAATAGGTGGACTGCGCTAAAAACGCTAGTGTCTATCATTGATAAATATCTTAAATAACAGGGGCCCCAAATGAGCATTCTGGGTTACTCCTGAATTAACCTTAACCTAACTAAAAACAAAATTTCTCTGAGATTCGCACCTCTGAACTCGGTCAATCAAGTATATTCTCAGCCATCCAAGAAGTGGACCATCAACATCCATTGTTTTAAGTTAAAATATCAAAATATTATTCTTGACCCGATCAAGGACCTTGGAAATATCAAAAGTAGTAAACAAAAATTAATAATACAATTATGTAAAGCAATTGAACTCACCTCGTTAAATGGTATGTCAGAAAAATCAACATTATTGCATTGAACTATTTGATCGCCAGGTCGTAATCCAGCCTCCCTCGCTATTCCTCCTTCTTTGGTGAATTGTACAAAAATTCCAGGCTTCCATTCAGGACCTTTGCAGATTCTTAAATATAATAAAAATAAAAAACAGTAATTATTAATATAATACCAATTACTACAGTTTAAAAGGTTTGTTAACTGATCTTAGAACCAGCACAGTATTAAGCTAAGAAGATTCATCGTCAAGAATCGAATTGAACTAAGAAATCAAAATCAAGCTGTCATGGTTTATAGCATATTTTATGCTACATAAATTTATGTAGCATAATAATTTCGTAAAATAATGAATAAAAACGAATTCAAATTTTTACCACTGTGCTTTCTAAAACTTGCAAAGCAAACAGCTTGATAAATTACTTGGCAAGGGAATCTAAAATTAAATTCCACATGCCGTTCATCATGGTTTCTCTCTCACCATTTCTCTTTTTGTTATTAGATGGCGTAGTTATGTCCGTATATAGTTATTTTAATAACTATTGTCTACGACGGGAATAGATTTTGTTTCGATCCAGAGTAGTGGCTATATCGCTCTGAGGAGACCTAAAGAGGTCGAATTACATATAGGCGGCTTGGCGCTGCTCTGTATCGAAACAAAAACCTAGTACCGTCTTTATAATGAATAAAAGTTTAATAATAGTTTCTTAAAGATATTAGGTACTTACCCACAACCTAATTTTGACCTAGGAGCTACCATAATTTGTATCCGAACGTCTCTATTTTTCTCAATAAACTGTGGTGAAGACCTTGAAGAACATGAGTTAGTGTCTGTGATGATTTGCCAACTTAACATGTCCGTCTTTTTGCTAAAACAATCAAAAATGCTTAATAATAATAAAATAAATATTTATTTTATTTATTTATTTATTTATTACACATGATAACCCCATTAACAGTTTAAACTCCAATATACAATATCACAGTTATGATTCAAAAGTTACTTATAAAATAAAATCAAAATAAAATGTTTGAAAAATAATACTAAAAATATAACCAGAACAAAATTTAACAATACCAATATACATATCACAAATTAAGAGATCTTTTAACTGCGTTAAAGTTATAGTAAAAATATCAAAATCGAGAACATTTAATAGCCCCATGTATCTGTCCAATGAGTTGTGAATACCATAGGTTGGTACATTGGAATATACAGTATTTGTCCTCCTTCTATTATCTTTATTCCTGATATGATCTTTTTTGGATACACCAGGCGCTCTCCTTAGAAAATCCATTTCTACTACTTCTGTTCTTTTTCTATCTTTTTTCGTGATCTGACAAACTTCTGCCCCATGTTATAACAGGCTCTACCATGGTTCGATAGGTTGTCAATTTCGTTTCTTGTCTAATATCTTTAGGTCGAAAGAAAATGTAAAAAGTATTTTTGAAGTGTGTATATTTTAGGCAATTCCTAGCTGAGCGCTTTCGGCTTTACAAAGCCATCATCAGAGCTATGGTCAATTTTTTAAATACCACTACAAAGGAGAGATCTCATTTCCTTATATTTCCAAATTATGATTTTTGTTGCAATTCTTAGAACATATAAAAAAACATATAAAAAACCGACACTGGACTTCACAAACACGTTAAAAAAATGAAGAGGGTCTTCAGATCAAACAATGGTCGGGTTCTTACACCCGCACCATGACAAAAAATTTTTTTCAATTTTTTTAACGTGTTTGTGAAGTCCAGTGTCGGTTTTTTATATGTTTTTTTATATGTTCTAAGAATTGCAACAAAAATCATAATTTGGAAATATAAGGAAATGAGATCTCTCCTTTGTAGTGGTATTTAAAAAATTGACCATAGCTCTGATGATGGCTTTGTAAAGCCGAAAGCGCTCAGCTAGGAATTGCCTAAAATATACACACTTCAAAAATACTTTTTACATTTTCTTTCGACTTGTCATAAGTGTGTACAAAAGATATCAGTCTTTTGATTTTTAATATCTTTAGACCATAGTAGAATGTTTAAAATGTTTACAGCTTTTTTTCCCAGCTGCATTCTGTTTTCGATGACTATTTTGGTAGAGCCTTCCTTAGATATTACAGATCCGAGATATTTATATTAATTGCATGTTTTTGTGTTTTTAATTACTGACTCTGAATCTTCTTCATCATCTTCTATATTAAGATACTCTATCTTTGGCATATTCATATTGAAGCCCCATTTTTCACATTCTTTCTTTAGTTTTCTAAACATGTAGTCCATGTCTTCCTTATCGTTCGCTACGACTACCTGATCATCTGCGAAAATTAAATTTGTTAGACATTTATTACCACGTATGTTTATTATCATTCTCATTAATATTCTCCTCCACTGATCTAGTGATAATTGAATATATATTTTAAATAAGGTCGGAGATAGACAACATCCTTGTTTAAGTCCCTTTGTTATTGGAAATGATTCAGATATAAAGTTTTCTTCTTTAACGACACTTCTTGCATTGTTGTATATATTGGCGATAGCATCCACATAGTCTCTACTGAGATCTACTTTCCTCAATGTTTAAAACAGTTTTTTTAAAGATACCGTATCGTATGTCTTCTCTAAATCTACAAACATTAGGTGGGTAGATAGATTCCTTGCCTTTCGTTTTTCGATTACCTGCTGCAGAACGAATATACCATCAGTGCACGATCTTTTTGCACCAAATCCATTTTGTTCTTCTATGTCTTCGTATTCTGATTCTATTCTTTTTTTTATTATCCGACCGTACAACCTCCCCACTGAGCTAATAACAGTTATTCCCCTATAATTAGAGCATTTGCGTTTATTTTCTTTCTTGAATATTGAGCTGATGTATCCAACATTGCAATCATCACGAATATTTAGTGCTTTTAAGCATTTGTTAAATAAATTACTATTAAACTGGGAATAAGCCACAATTAAAGATAAAAATACGTTTATTGACGTTTCAATTTCCACTTCGAAAATCGTTCTCAAAATACAAACAGTAAATTAAACAAATTTTGTTTTTTGTTACATTATGTTCATTATCCCATGCGTATGCGTCTAGAAATGTGGCTGTATCGACGCATACTGAGAATACCTTGGACAGACAGAGTGACCAACACAGAGGTATTAAGACGAATGGGTAAAGAGGTGGAATTGTTAACAACTGTTAAAAGGAGGAAAGCGTCATACCTGGGCCATGTGTTCCGTAATGATAAGTACAGTCTGCTACAGCTTATCGTGGAAGGCAAGATTAAAGGTAGAAGAGGTTTGGGCAGAAAGAAGAAATCCTGGCTGAGAAACTTGAGAGAATGGTTTCAAATACCAGAAGCTGCGAACATAATTCTTGCAGCACAAAACAGAGAAACCTATCGTATGATGGTCGCCAACCTTCGGTAGAAGACGGCACATAAAGAAGAAGATCCCATGCGTGTTTACAGATTTGAGATCTATCAAATTCTCTATTTTTAATATAAGATTGATGTTCACTTATTCTAACATTTAATGACCTTGATGATTCACCTAAATAAAACTGATCGCATTCACAAGGTATTTTATAAATGCAATTCTTTATCCTGTCTTGTTCATTGTTATAAAATATCTTGTGAATGCGATCAGTTTTATTTAGGTGAATCATCAAGGCCATTAAATGTTAGAATAAGTGAACATCAATCTTATATTAAAAATAGAGAATTTGATAGATCTCAAATCTGTAAACATGCATGGGATAATGAACATAGGGTTCAATGGAATAATTCAAATGTAGTCCTAAAAGAAACGGATGGTAAAAAAAGAAAAAACAAAGAAGCGGCTCTAATTATGCTAAATGAGGCCAATTGTGTCGCAAATTCCTCGACAGAATGTAGTAGGATCTGGTTACCAATATTGAAAGAGGAAGTTATTAATAAGAAAATACCAGTATTAGTAAGTGAGTATCATATAGAGGATACATAATTTATGTTTTTTAAATAACGTAACATATAAAATCAGAATTTTGATGTTTGTTGAAGGTAAACTAAATTCACGAACAAATACTTACAATGTCGGGATAGTATTATGAGGTTTTTTTCCTGGTTTTTCCCTCATAATTTACTATGGAATCACTAACAGGAGAATTTTACTGTCATCATATTATGTGTTTGTCTTTTTAAAGACGAATTACATGCTATGATTTATTTCTGACGGATATTCTCAAGTTAAAGTTGATTTCATGTAATCGAATGAACTATCTTATAAGTTAAGTCGTCCCAGGAGCGCAACTCAACAATATTTGCAATATCATTTTAAAGTCGTCTACTTTAAAATGCATAATGTATGTCTGAATTGTCAATATAAATAAGTCAGATAAAATTAAATTATTAGAAGAATTTTTTCACTATGTAACAAAAAACAAAATTTGTTTAATTTACTGTTTGTATTTTGAGAACGATTTCCGAAGTGGAAATTGAAACGTCAATAAACGTATTTTTATCTTTAATTGTGGCTTATTCCCAGTTTAATAGTAATTAATTTACAATGCCACAAGAAAATAGCTTCAGAACAATATTTGTTAAATAGTTGAACCAACATCTTATGTAATATTTTTGGTCCATACTTTACCAACTCAATCGGGATGTCTTCAGGTCCTGCTGCTTTATTGTTTTTCAATCTTTTGGGGGCATCGCTTAACTATCCGGTTGTTATCTCAATTATTTATGTATGTTCGGATATTTCTGGGTCGACAGAGTTCGAAAGGAGGAGGTCCTTAGACGGCTGAACAAAACAACACAACTGGTCAATATAATAAAGAAACGCAAGCTGGAATACTTCGGTCACATTATAAGACACCCTGAAAAATATGATCTTTTACATCTGATCATTCAGGGAAAGATCTAGGGTAATCGTGGTCCTGGTAGAAGAAGAACATCATGGCTCAAAAATCTAAGGCAATGGTATGGAAAATCAACTACATCGTTATTTAGAACTGCTGTCAATAAAGTCACGATAGCGAATATGGTAGCCAACATGATATCCAACGATCGATAACGGTCATGGAACTAGAAGAAGAAGTATATTTCTTTTATTTCGATTTCTTGAAATGTACATCTAACCTCTGTCAGTAAGACCTCATAA